CTAGCTCGTTAAGCAATCGAGTCGAGCTCAATTCCTTATATAAAGTTTTGAAAATATTACTCACTTCATCTCTAAATCAACTGTCCACTTTCTCTTTTATGGATGTCCCTAAATAAAATCATTTTTTCCCTATTTGGTAAATAAATTTATGTCAATTTACTCTACTACCCTTAAATATTAATGACATCTCAGTGCAAAATAGAGTGGAATGGTGCCAAACAATGTTAAAATAGTGTACGCTATGATAAAATTTACCCCTCAGTAAAAAGGGCATTTCAGGAAGTCAAATGGAAAAAATGATTTCCTTATTACGTGTGCAATTAAAACACGGATTTTTATACAGGGATCTATATATTTTTATTTTTATGTATAAATATAATATTTACAATTTTGAAAATGGAGAATTTGTTTGTAATCCAAATTCTAGTTCGACTTCAAGCATTTTATTCAACCCTAAACATATAAAAGTTTAAATCGAGCTCGAGCCAAAATTATTAGGCTCGAGTAGGGATAAGCTCGATCCCGATTAGGTCTCGGTTCCGGTCTTGATTCTGACATAGGGAGGCTCAGAACCGACCTGGATAACACGGGTCCCAATCCGGTCTCGTGTACTCGGCCGATCCCGACTCCGGTCCTAGGCCAGTTCGGGCAGTTTTTTTATTCCATATTACTCCATATTACTTATTATATTACTTCCTCCGTCCCTTAAAACTTTGCCAAGTTTGACCGACACGGGGATTAATAAAGTGAAAACTGTGTGGTTGAGAATTGTGCAGAGGAGAGAGAATTAACTGGAAGTCTGGAATCACAAATTCTTTATTTAAAAGGGAAAGTGACAAAGTTAGTGCGACATCCAAAAAAGGAAAGTTGGCAAAATTCTAAGGGACGGTGGGAGTATTAATATAAACCAGTGAACAAACATTAAAAATGGAATGTAAATTTATTTAAAACTTTACATTGACTTAGACATTTGCAAATTAAAATTGAGAATAGTTACATACATTTCTTGTTCGTCGGAACTCCCGCTTCCGGACACAGTTGCAGTTCCCTTCATGATGTGACTATGTGGTCCTATGTTAATTTCTTGAGTTCTATGACGGGCATTCAACCAATCGTGGAATTAAATGAGCGTCTCAAGAGATCGTGCTCTCAACTTCACTAAACTATTGTTCCACAGCAATCGTTGAAACTGGCCTTGACATCATGTGTTTTGTCAATTTTTATAAAACCATAAACATTCCTTGTTTGTCCTTCCACCGTTTGAGAATGTCAAAGTCTTCCCATTCTTCATACTCAACGGAACACGTTAGATATATAAAGAAAACCATTAATCTAGCTTTGTACATCAGCAGGAGTAGATTTACTTTTTTCAAAAGATTAGATATTGTAGATTTAAAAAGACATTTTCTTTTTGATGAAAAAGTAATGGATTAAAGGGGAGGGGTACGATAGCATATTATGCATGAAACCCATTAAATAAATTATGAAATATATTACTAACCTTGCGTTTTTTCCATCAATTGCAATGAAGCCAAAGACTGTTTTTTGACTTGGGAATATGATGGAATAAAGTAAAATGACTCACTAAACTATCTGCGCTTTTGTTATGAAGCAGCAGTCAGTCCATGCAATTTTCGGCACGATTTTCACTATAGGTCATCCGGAAACAGTCTACATGTGCTTTAGTACAGGGGTAAGACTGCGTACATCTGACTCCCCCCCCCCCCCCCCCCCCCCGTACCCCACCGTAAGTGGGAGCTTTTGCAACACTAGGGTAATGATATGATGACGATGATTACTAACCTTGTGCTTGAACATCTATAGGGACATACAGACATAGTGTTGTCTTCATACAAAGGCAACACACCGTAGAAACAATTGTAATAGTACTCTAAAAATGTTTTATAACTAGCAAGTTTGAAACAAGGATCAAGAACAAAAACAATAGCATATATAGGCGGAATGTAGGCATAATATTTTTAAAACTTTTCTTTCATGAAACCACAAAAATAATGAACATAAGGGCTATTTTTAAAACTTTTCTTCAGAAAATTCATTGAAAGCACAAGCAAGATTAACAACATTTGTAAAAAAAAATATGTTGCGATGAAAAAGACTGAGTAGCGTTATGAACTCATTGTTCGATCCTTTACAATGAAAAAGTGGTTGCTATTTATAGCAGCCTGACATGCCAAAATATGTAGTGTGAAATGATGTAAAAATGTGAATGGAAATGATGTTTTAATTGGCTTGTAACGATATAGTATAGAGTAAGTGAGTATCGTTCCGCTAGAGAATGGCTCACAAAAGGAACTAGAATTAATGATTGATTTTTAGCTAATCACAAATTGATACATTTTGCAATGGAGCTAAGTGATCGGATTTTTTTTATCTTGTGTTTTATAAATGCGAAATTGCTAGGGAGTAAAATAAATCACAATACTTGGTAATTTAACAATTAATGATAGAGAAAATTAGGCTTGGGCTAAGAGTAATTTTATTTTGATGTTCATAGTAATAAAGATATAACTAATTAACTTAGTTGCTTTTAGGTGTGTGAAAGATTTACAAATGGTAATCTTCTAATCGTTCCCACGACTTAGTTGATTACACTATCTTAAATTAATTCTACTCCCGCGGTAATTTTATTAAGACAGTAAAAAGTACAAAATCAAATTATCCTAAATTCCTTAACACTTCCGTGTAGCGATTTAGTGGGTGAATTAACAAAAGGGATTTTAATGAAATTTCACTCATGTGATAATATTCATTTCCCAATATAATGTACTACTCCTGTGGTATTTAGCAGATTGGAATATTCAACCCAACACTCCTAAAATTAACCAAGTAATAGTTTTAACCAATTATTATCATATGAACATTAACAGTAAAAATTACATCTTGCCCAAACCTAAACTAATTTAGTTACACATAATTACAGTAAATGAAATAAAAGTAAAACTAATGATAGGCATAATTAATTTAACAGATTAAAGAAAATAAAATAAGTATTTGAATAAGAACCTGAAGGCATAAATAATGAGCTGAAATAGAGAAAGTGAAATCCTTAAGCTGATAATGATTCTGGCTCATACTTCCCAAATGAACTTGATTGTTGAAATTAAAGAACTAAAATTCTGGAAATGAAAATTACAAACTGAAATTTAGAGAGAGTGTTCTTGAAAGAAGAATCACTTTTATTATATGACTACTACTATGAACAAAGCTAAAGAAGAGAAGAAGGAGATTTCTCTCTGAATTGATGTGTTTTGCAGCTCCTGGATGGCCCTTTATATAGTAGTAGGAGAAGGAGCTTAAGCATAAAAATCCTGAAATGGAGATGCTGGTCAATATTTTTTTGGTGTGCTATTACTTCAGTCTTCCATCCGATTTGATCACCCCTCTTAATTTCTTCTGCAAATAGTACCTGCCGTTGTTCAATTGCCATTTTTTTCTTCATCGGCTACTGTTCTCTTCTGTTTGAAGACTGCTGAGTGAAGATGATGCGGACGATTTTTATTTCAAGTGATGCACTTCGTAGGTGTCCCTTCAAAGGCATGGCCTCATCAATAATTCAACTTATTTTTCTTTGTTAGACTCTCTCTACGGTGGAAGGCCTGATTAATTCACAATGAGAGTGAATTATCTTGTCAACCAAACTTTTGGCTATTATCTGCCATTTGTTGTTTTGATCGGTTGACTGTTTGATCAATTAATTGGTCAGCAGTTAACCGATACATTTTATTGCAGAAAGTTTGGTTTATTCTGAAGTGTATTTCAGGTCTCCTAATAAAATATTTTGGAGTTAAAGACAGGATCCGCTTCACTTTGGTTCTTTTTGCGTCTTCACTCGCGAGTAAATTTATTTCTTTTCACAATCTCAATTTACATTCCGAATTATCCTGAAATTCAAAAAATATACGAAAACAAGTGCAATACCTTAGAATGTTCAAGATGATAAAAATCAATCCTTTTTATTTAAAAATGAGAAATAAAGTATTAAAAGTGTGACAAAACAAGATCGTAAATATGGTAAATTAGGAGTACATCACAGCCATAAATGCTAAGCGCATTTAATGCGAGTACACGTGTCAATTAATCAACGGTGGAGGGTCAACTCAACCGGGGTGGCGCCGACATAGCATGTGGCACCGCATTTAATGTGGTGGTTTGGATGCGACATCGCATTTAATGCGGCGATTCAAAGCATGCAGAGAGAAGATCTTGTCAGGGGTAGTGCCTTCGGCTGCATGTACCCGGGGGCCGGAGACACCGAAGGGTGTACATGCCGAGGGCTGACGATTTTGGCCCTGATTCCCAGTTGCGTTTTTGGACCAGGTATAATCATTTTCCTGAATACGAAACCTTCGAGCATAGTGTCGAAGGTTATACCTTGTACAACATGGGTTGTCCGTGGTCTTGTCTGTTGTGCTTGGACCGCTTGAGCCTGATCATAGTAGCGAGAATTATGTGGGTCGAGGGTTCCTGGGCCCATATACTCCATCAGTCCCATCACTAGAGTTCATGCATTTTATTTGAGCCCAAACATCTTGAAGTTAATGAACATAACCCAAGCTGAGCCCGATTCAAACTCAAGCCAAGCACAAGCCAAATTTATTAGGCTCGAGCAAGCTTGAACTAGTGCATTCTCATTGAGCTTGCCCAAGTTGAAGCTACTCAACTTGTTTACACCCCTAGTCCCTACTGAAATAGGCTTTGGTAGATGCATGACCCAATCTAGGTGTTTAAGTTTAATTACAAATTTAAGACATGACCCAATCTAGGTGTTTAAGTTTAATTACAAATTTAAGACATGACCCAATCTAGTTATCTAGGAGTTTCAGTTCAATTAAGAATTAAGACGTATAGAATTAACATACAATTTTTCTCAAATAATTATGAATGTATTTTGTTATAAATAATTTTTCTATAGTTGGTGTAGGATTTCTGAATATTGGCTATTTCAAATCAATAGGAGTAAAAAGAAAGATGTTTAATAAAGAATATCTAATTCTTGCTTCATCAATACAATTCCTATCATTCAAATTTGGTGAAAGGGAAGAGTCCACGAGTAAAGTATCAAGCCAAAAGGCAGTAAATCGAGTGAACATTAATCAACACAAAAAACACCATATACGTTCTTTACAAGGTCTTTCACACCCCCAAAAACGTTGAAATAAAATAAAATAATAATAATAATAATGAGGGAAAAAGATCAAAGTTGGAAAAATAACAGCAGTTATGAGTTTGAACATGCTGCGCTTCAATCTTAAATCTTGATATGAAAGTAATCAGAGTCAAAATGATGCAATCTCACATACCCATCTTCACCTCCACTTGAAAAACTACAGAAATGCACAAGATTAGATTAAAAGCCGTAAAACTCAAAAGGCTTGGTAATTATTTCTAATTATTTTAAATCAAGCAATTTTTTACTAAAATTGGAGGCCTTTATCTCAATTATACATGCCAAAATATCATCTTGCGATGAGCAAATTTTTGAAGTTCAAACTAATAAGACAAGGACAACTTGATTTAAACACACACACTTCGTGCAGCACTTCGGCATAAATGTCATTTAAGTAAAAGCATTCAATTATAATAATGCTATACTAATAATAAAACATGAAAATATCACCTTCTTCCATTAGGATTGAAAGCCAAAGCATTAATGGGTCCAAAGTGCCCTTTCACACCACCAATCTCTTCTTGAAGAATCTAAGAAACACGGGAAAGGTAAACTATTGTCACGTGCTTCATTTCGGGGTAACTAAAACTAGCAATTTATGTTGTATAGTCAAACCTAAACATATTTGTTCACCTTATCATAGAATATAGCCTCAAACTTCCCAGCACGATGAGAAGTGGTTGTCACACTTAATGCATCTTGACCACCTCCAAGCACAATCTGCATAGCATAGAAAGCACAACAAAGAATGAAACACGGAAATCTAGTAAACAAATGTAAATTGATTTAGTTTACAACAGTCAGGTCTGCTCTGAAAATTTAACAATGCCATATGTATTTAATTTTCATTTTCTTGTAATTGAGTATTTCCAAGGCAAGGTGCACAAATAAAAAGCACAGAGTATTTTGTAACATATGTCAAACATATAATACTCCGTAATTGACAGTGATCGTGTGATGAGTAAAGCAATTGAACAGCTAGTATAATGAGATTACTAGTATGTATTTACATACATGATCCAGCAGTGGTGACATTGTAACAGCATTCACTGGGCGCTCAGATACATATGTTTTAAGGAGTGTCAGGTCTCTGATGTCCCAAAGCTGGCATTTGAACATAAGTACATAGTACATATATATGAGACAGCAAGTACAAGAAATAGGACAATTTGGGACCCTGAAATGCTTGAGTATGAAAATAAGAAGGATACAACAACAACAACAACATCCGAGCCTTAGTCCCAAAAGATATTGGGATCGGCTAACATGAATCGATACATGATATCACAATCAAAAGGAAAAGAAGGAATAAAGATAAAAAGATAAGCTATTATGAAAAGATAATATAAAAAAAAGATGAATATATATATAAATGATAAAATAAAAAGGCTGCAAATATTGCTTATATATATAAGGAAAAAAAAACTAGGAAACAAAAAGATGAGGGAAAAAGATTATCAAGATCACTCCTTCACGTGAATACCCGCCCTCCACTTAGTTCTCTCCAAAGTCATGTCCTCATCCAACCCCAAAAGAAGCATATCACTTCGAACTCCCCTAACCCACGTCTGTTTGGGTCTTCCTCTCCCTCTCTTCCCTGCCTCTTCTCCACACATCTCAACTCGCCTAACAGGTGCATCACTCGGTCTTCTACGCACATGACCAAACCACCGTAGGCGCGACTCCCGCATCTTGTCTTCAATAGGTGCTACTCCCACCCTTTGTCTGATTGTCTCATTCCTCACGCGGTCCTTCCTAGTATGCCCACACATCCAACGCAGCATGCGCATCTCTGCCACACTCATCTTATGAATGTGACATTGTTTCACCGCCCAACACTCTACGCCATACAGTAATGCAGGCCTAATTGCTGTCCTATAAAACTTACCCTTCAGTCTAGTCGGCATACCTCGGTCGCATAGAAATCCTGACGCACTCTTCCACTTCATCCACCCTGTTCTGATTCTATGGGATACATCTCCATCTAACTCACCGTCCTTCTGAATTATGGAGCCCAAATAACGGAACATATCGTTGACTGGTATCTCCTTACCATCCAGAGTAATCCCGCTATTACCACTACTTCTACCTCCACCAAACTTGCACTCCATGTACTCTGTCTTGCTCCGACTTAGTTTGAAACCCTTATTCTCCAATGAAAATAAGAAGGATAATAGAGGGAAATTTGGTATTTCAAAGTTAAGATTGATATTTCAATGTTAAGATATCTATTTTAGACATTTGCTAAAGCTCATTTATTAATATTTATATATTTTCATTATACAGAGATTAAGAACTTCAAAAGTGTGTCAAACATAAAAGTTGTATAAAGGGCAGCCCAGTGCACGAAGGCATACCCGCAAGGCGAGGGTCCGAGGAAGGGTCCCACCACAAGGGTGTATAAGGAGCAAGTCTTCCCTTGTCAAATTTTGACAAGAGACCGCTTCCAAGACTTGAACTTGTGACCTCTTGGTCACACAACAACACCTTAACCATTGCGCAAGGCTCCCCTTCTGCATAAAAGTTGTATGCATAATACATATTTGATTTTCCATCTTATCTTGCAAGGTAAAACCAAATATCAATACAAACTTTTGATAGAGAGCAGGGAGAGCAGGGGGCGGGAACGGGCTTGGGCCCACCTCCGTGGGCTGATTATGGGCTGGGATTATAGTTTTATTATTATTATAACGTTTATGTTATGTTTTCTAGTTTGGACCTATTATTAATAGAGTAGTTAGTAGAGTTAATGTGGGCCTAATTATGGTTTACTTAATTGGGATCGATTAGGGTTTCTGTTGAGTCTATTACTAGAAGGGTATTTATACCCCTTGTTAGGATTCATTCTGGATCATCTATGAATAAAATTGGAGTTTAGCCTTTTGGCTCGGGGCAACAGTTTCTATCGTTGATTACTCTGGGCAATGGTTTGTTCCGTTGATTTTTATTTTATGTTTTCATCAACTTCCTTCACATTTTTCTGCAATATATCATGTTCCAGACATAACATAGAAGCCTGTGAAACGGAAACAGAACCTCATATGATGATATGAACAAGGTTGATGAACAAGTTACCTTTGCTGATTTATCTAATGAACCGGTTATAAAGTGCGAACCATCTATGGATTTTTCCAGAGAAGTTATCCCTTTCGTATGTCCAGATTCTTTATCAGATTCCTTAAGTAACTTTCCTGTCTGACAATTTTTTAAAATAGTAAAAACTTCAGGCATCAAATAAACTAATAAAGCATAGTAGGCATCACGAGTTACTCATAAAACAATATTTACTGGACATACCTCAGCATCCCAGATACGAAGAACAGAATCTTCACCACCACTAATAATAGTTTTATTTAAAGGTCCCCAAACAGCTCTATTGATCCTTTTTTGGGACCCCTTAAGGATCAGCACAGACTCGCTAGTTTCTGAGATAGTAGTGAATTCATCATTTGACTAACAGCCGTCAGTTGCTAAGTTTTAAATAAGAATGACTCTAAATTTTGGATACCTGGGGAGAGTTTGGGATAACTAAATACGAAGGGACAAGTACTTTTTAGAGAAAGAAAAGTATTTTTGCTTTTATAATAGAAGAGTTTGGCATGGAAATTGAAATGGCTTTTTAACTGTAAAACCAGCACTTCTCATGCTTTGCTCAATAATGCAACAGCTTGGTGTTTTCAGAATTTCTTAAGAGCTAAAATGAGAAGCGCTTGTAATAAAAGAACCTATACCATAAGTTATTCCAAACAGGCCTTTAACATAGAAAGTATAAGAAAATATAACTGCAGACTTACGGTCCTCTGGATCTCTAGCAATTCTTTTTACGTGGATAGCAGAAGAAAGTCCCATGAATGGATCAGCGGTAATAACTGCAAGCTTATCACCAACAGAAAAGTCAACAGACCTACATGGTGAATCAAATTTGAATGTGAACTGCTCAGTGCCCGTCTTAACATCCCAGAGCTTTGCTGTTGTGTCCGCACTTCCAGTTATTAGTCTACTTGAATCACCTATATACTAGATATCAGAAATGATAACCCATGGTAAAACAAATATCCAACCAATTGTTATTAAATTATACTCCATCCGTCCCGCAAAACTTGGCCAAATTTGACCTATACGTGGAATGATAAAGTAAGAACTGTGTGATTGAGATTTGTGCAGAGGAAAGAGCACCGCAGAGGGAAAAAAACTTAACCACATATCTATTACTTTAAATGGAAATGGAAATGTTTTTTGGGATGGCCAAATAAGGTAATTTGGCATAATTTTCTGGGATGAAGGGAGTATATGGTGATTCCCATATCCACCTGATGTTTATGAAGCCCAATCCACACTAAGCTATGTGTGCTTATGAAACCCATAGGGGCGTTTGGCATATGCACCCGATGTTTACCCCAATATTTTACTTAAATCTCAAGTTTAATTTTCTTTTACTTTGCACTTCAACACAACTAAAAACTGGACTTAAAGATCAAATATTATCATAAAGCATGGGCTGCAAAGCCTAATAGAAGTCATTTATTGCTTTGGGTGCTTTTGGGTACCAGCTACCAACTTACCAAGTCAACGAAAATAGAATGTGGGTGCAAAGACACATATTTGGGTAAATCTGAGGTGAAAATACCAAGTTTCCCAAATTTATATGATAAAATAGAATAAAAAACAAACTTCCTAGTAAAATATGGTTGTCACCCTTATTTTTAAGACATCTTATACTTGGCTTCTTTACTCCTTTACCCTTTTATTGAAACATGCAGCTCTTTTTGCCTATTACTAAGCATACTATGACTTCCATTATTCCATATAAGAGAGCTTTGAAGTTTGAACTTTGGTGGTTCACTAGTTTTGTGCTATGATTTAATTACATAGCTACTTTGAAATTTGAACCAGAGAGAGAGAGACATTACGAGAGACGTCACAGCAATTAACGGCGCCATTATGACCACGGTAAGTTCCTAGGCGCTCGCCATTGTCAGCAAACCAAACAGTTGGATCGTGGTCCTTGGCACACGAGAAGAGTAGATCACCTTCCCGGTTGTACTTGAGAAAAGTTAGCGGCCTCTCATGGCCTTTCATCAATATTGGCCTCATCTTCTTAATTATATGTGTATATATAATAATGCAATTTCCTATGCCAACTTTGCCGCAAAACCTGACTGAAAAACAACAAAACGGGTGGTATTTCATGTAAAGATTAAAGAAGCACATATGATAATTGCTAAAGTATATGTCAAGGAGAATTATTTGGTGCAAAAATCTAGTATAGTGTTACAGTTCAGCTCTTACAAGCTATATTAGCTTAGAAGTTGTCAGGGAAATAACAACATCAGCTGTGTTAGTTAGAAGTAGTTATATTTCACTTGTATATAACACCTCCTTTGTAATCAATTTTCAATATCAATAACAATTATCTGCCTGGAGAGTCGAAGGTTGACATTGTTGACAGGTCAATGCAAAAGAGGGAAATGAAGATTAAGGAGTTAAAACAGAATCTGAATAGGGCTCAATCAAGAATGAAACAAATTGCAGATCAACACAGAATTAAAAGAAATTATTCAGTGGCAGATTGGGTATGGCTCAAGCTTAAACCTTATAAACAAGGGGAAAATCCCGAAATAGGAGTAAAAACGTTTTGGAATTCCAAAATAGGATTGTCATGTTTTTATTTTCTAAATAGAAGTAATTACTGTCAAGCGTGAAAAATATTGTCATGTTTAAAGTGTGGTACTGCCAAAACATGGCAATAATTACTCCTATTTATGGAATAAAAACATGGCAGTCCTATCTTGGAATACCCAAATGTTTTTACTCTGATTTAGGGCAATTCTGTATAAACAACAATCAGTTTAGCAGAAGAGTTGTCACAAGTTAGCTCACAAGTGTTATGGTCCATTCCAGATTTCTACAGTAATTGGAAAGACGGCATATAAGCTTAAATTACCTTCTTCTTCCCAAATACATGATATCTTTCATGTATCCCAACTCAAAAAAAAATCATGGAACTTTACCAATTGCTACTCATATTCCACAATGGTTTCAGAGACAATCATCTACTCATTCCCCTAAACCCAAGGCTATTCTGGATAGAAGGATGGTAAAGTTTCAAAACAGAACGCAAGTTCAATATTTGGGACAATGGGAAGGAGGATTTTCAGAATGGAAAGCAACCTCAGAAACTGCCGAAAGTTTTGAATGGATAGTTCCCTAACTTCATAATTCAAAATGCCATAATTAGACTTGAAGACAAGCCAAAATTTTGAAGGGGGGAATGATACAGTTCAGCTCTAACTAGGTTATCTACTCTGCGAGTACTCGGTGAGTACTCGCAACTCGGGCCTTTACCTTGCCGATTAGCAACTTAACTCGGTCCGTGTTAATTTTCCGAGTTACTCGGCGAGTACTCGGCGAGTTTTGCAACTCGGTCAACATCTCAAATCGGCGAGTTACTCGGTATTACTCAATCCTTTTAAAATTGAAGCACTACGGTTAAAAATCCTAAATTAAAACATAAATTTAACAGAGTTCCAAGTCTGTGACTGCAACATCGGCTCTCTGGGAGCTGCGTGACATCCGGTATCCCTTCGAGCTGCTACTGCGACATCGGCTGTCCCTTAGAGGCTTGGAGTTGTGAGTGCGACATTGGCTAGTAACTCTTCTTTCTCTCGTATCTTCCCCTCTTCACCTCCTGTTTCTTCTTCTTCCCCCCTCTCCTAGTTGTGTAAGTTCTTTCCTTCTTGGATAGTTTTGGTTCTTGTATTCGCTAAGCTTTCATTATTGGATAAGTAGTCTAGTAGACGTCGTGCTTTATAGTATTCAATGCATGACTTCTTAGACTAAACTGATAAATACTTTTGGATAATATAACTAGTCTAGTAGACATCCTGCTTTATGTTGGATTATTGCCCTCCTACTCCCTATAAATTCAATTTCAACAATAGACATTAAATTTTGATCACTTATAAAATTTAAATCCAGCATAATAAAATTTAAATTTTGAAAACTTAGAATGTTTATGACTTTTGCTACTCCATTATTAGGATAATAGGATTTCTATCATTTTATTCATTTTTATGCTTTTTAAGACAATTTTAAGACTATTTTATGACTATTATATTTCTATAATCTCGGGCAACTATATTATTAAATTTAATTAATACAGGGCCGAGTAATCACCGAGTAATCGGTCCTACTCGCTACTCAGCCCTTGACCGAGTTACTACCGAGTAGCGAGTTAACTACCTAGAACTAGGTAGCTATAACTACCTTGGCAATAAAAACATGCCAAAACAACTCCCGAGTAATCCCTCTAACAAGCTATATTAGCTGAGAAGTTGTTAGGGGAATAACAACGTCAGCTGCGTTAGTTAGAAGTAGTTATATTCCACATTTCCACTTGTATATAACATCTCCTTTGTGATCAATTTTCAATATCAAACTATTCTATATCTTCTTCCTGTAGTCTGCTACCTATCTTACACTATGTTTCTTCTTTCTTTTCACCATTTATAGGCTAAGTTCTAGCTCTAAGTACTAAGAAATCAGTTGAGCATTAGCTTAGCTCCTGTATTATATAGCAATAATTTTAGTCATTTAGTGGTTCCAAAATTTCCAATCACAAAAATCGGGCATTTTTAAAATCATGATGACGTCCAAAGAAGTGAGTGTCGGTATGGGCGTAGGCACCCCTCTATAAAATGAATTGATAAAGTGTTCAAACTTTTATAAAAGCCATCCAACATCTTTGTTTAAATCATTCTTTTGCCCAAAACAACAAGAAATAAAAAATACAGATTTCCTAATGTAACAAATACTACTGTTTTTACATTAAAAATGACACAGATCATTGCTGTAAATTAAAAAAATGCATAATTCAAGGAAAAAATATAACCATATAAAATATTTCTGCGTGAATGGTTGAAATAAGATGTAAAGTGAGTTGTTTCATACAGTTCTAAGAAAATGCAGGGGTGTTTTTGAGTTCTATTTCCTTAAAACTAAAATTCCTTGAGCATAAAATATCTCAAATTAGTGTTTCGCATCTGTATAATTGAAACAAGGCTTGTTTTTTATGGAGAACACGTGACTGGGTTGGGTTCAAGCAGCGAAACAGGAGGGTCGTAACGCCCTCTTGTTTTCATAGTTCTTTCAGAAACACTTGCCTGGGTAATAGGTAAGGAAAGGGAAGAAGAAGTGAACAAGCACGATGGAGGCGTACCAGGAAATCGGAGAGCACGCAGGCGACTGGAGAGCAAGAGGTTTGTAGGCCACCTGGAAATTCGATTTAGAACATATTATAGGCTTGTAGACGGTAAACTCTATGAAAACTTAGAGAAGGGTCAACCTGAAAGAGCAAAGGAATGGCTAATCGCGGTTTCACACAATCATGGTCGTAGATCCAAACATGCTAAATGATATAAAAAAAGGTTAAAAAGGTTGAATTTCCAAACAAACGAACAAATCTAACAACATAGACGATAACAAGAAGTTAAATGACATAATAAAAATAATAAATAGGAAAATTTTCACGGACTCTAACATCTCGTACAACCCATGGCGGTGGTTCAGGAGTAGGCCGTATCCTTGGTACCACTCTAATTGATCCTCCAATTGTCAATCGTCATCTGGCCTGCTCGAAATCCGTGCACCTCTCCTCATCCCGCGCTCGTAGCAAATCCACCGCTAGCGGTCATCTTCATCGATGTCATGCCCTTGCTACCCTGCTCACGAAGAAATTGATCGCTGAACTCTAGCTTCGATGTCATCAAGCTTGGGCAAGGATTTTTGTCAATCTGCCTCAAATCCAATCCCAACTCCAGACACAAGTGAAGGGGATTTAACGGCCGGAAGAATAAAACCTTAGATCTGCTAAGGAAAAACCAAACTCTAGACATGCTAGGGAGAGACCGCAACTTGACAAATACATCAACGCTGAAAGGACATTCACAAGATCTAGATCATCAAGCTCTAATCTCTAGAATTGTATTAATTAGAAAATATTATACTCCTTATCAAACTAAAATCATTTGTGTTCGGTTTGATTTCGATTCATTTTTCTACATGGAATCTGACCCCGATGACATAGGGACGGTTAGGCTTGTTGGCTTTGTGTCAAGTTTGATTTACCAAAGTGAAAATTATTACTATCCTCCGTTCCATAAAAGTTGCAACAATTTGACTTTCATGTTTGCCAACGCGCAACTTTGACTGTAATTATATTTATTTACGTATTAGTAAACAAACTTTGACTGTAATTATATTTATTTACGTATTAGTAAACATTAAAAAAAGTTAATATATTGGAAATTTACATTAATACAAAATTATTAATATTTAATACATAATATTTTTATTATATTTATTATTAGAAAATATATTATTAGAAAATCGTAGTCAAAATAAAGTGTGTGAATAGTGAAGAAATTCCAATGTTGCAGCTTTTATGGAACGGAGGAAGTATATTAAATTTAGTTCAATTTGGTGCGGTCTCATATGTGTATTATATTAATCAAACTCATGGTTCAAACTTTGTCATTATTGATTCTAAAAGGCAAATATGACAAAGTGTTAAAGAACATGTGTAGTGATTTCCATATTCAAGCCCCTCTCCCACTTGGCACACCCGAAGTTCATTGTGGAAGACAATTTGTTTTAGTGTAGGTGTCTTAGGGGCCGTTTACTTTCGACTTAATGGGCTGAATAGAAAACGTGACTTATTCGCTCAGTTATATATCGATGTTTACTTACGACTTAATTTCTAATGTGACTTATTCGCTCAGTCCATTCATGACTTATCAGTTCAGCTCCATTTCAGCACTCCTTGGCATACAGACGTTTTTAAGTTAAGGGGTTCCCTTCTTTAACCTCGCTTCTCGTTCGAACATTTCATCCTATACAAGCAGCAAGCAGCCATCAACTACAAATATGTGACCATCGCCGTTTCCAGCAACTTACGAGCTATTGCGCTCCCAGCACTTTGCGAGCCATCACGAAATCAACAAAGAGAAATCTCATAGCAGCCTTATTCATTTAGGTATTTCATTTGATTTTATATTTTTTGTTCTCTTTTTCTTTCCTTATGGAAAAATCGCTATATTTCGGCAGCTTGATAAAATTTCTGAAATTCAACTCAATCTAGATATGCCATATTCTTAAACCTGAAGTTATATGATCGATTTTCTTTTATTGGAGTCTCATATGTGATATTTTTTTATACACAGTGAGTTTTCCCAGTGAGTTTTCCCTTTATTTCACATTGCTACACCATCTATTATTAGGTTTTATATACACAGTGAGTTTTCCCTTTATTTCAGTTTTCACTATTCTTTCACCAATATTGACATGTGAGATAAGAATATTCCACTCTCCCATGTTTCTGCATACATACAAATTAAAAATGGCATGCCTTAACTATTTGCTACTCATTCTAGTTTTAGCTTTACTATCAAGCAAAACTAGAAAATCATGTTTCGATACACTAGCAGACCACTAGCAGTACTAACTAATAACCAACTCCAAGTGAATAAATGAAATGCAGTTAAGTACTCATTAACCTCTTGTAAGGTTAATGGAATTGGATTTCTTTAATTTATTAATATAGTTCTATATTACTTGCCTACTTGGTAAGAATATCTCAACAATTTTTCAGTTTCAAGATTGTAATTACTGCCCTTTAACATTATCTAACTCTTTTCCTTGAATTACTCTTTTGGGTGTTGATATACTGCTAGACTTTAAAATGTGCAGGTTCCTAAGCAATTTCTTAGAGCTGGACATGTTATGGTGTGAGCAATTTTCTGGAGCAACTGCAGTAGGAGTTCCAATCTAAGCGGATGGATGATCTGGTAAAGCTTATTTGGGGTTGTTGGACCATTTGGAGCGAGAGAAATCAGAGAGTTTGGAAGGACAATTCGATGATGCCACAACAGTTCATGTACAAGGCAGAGAATCTGGTGGTCAGTTGGGCTCAAGCTCAGTCAACTAGGTGCATTGGGAGGCATTCGGGACTGTCATCTGCTACATTTTGGAGACAGCCAACTGTGGGGAAGATGAAGTTGAACATAGATGCTGCTGTCCGGGGTTTCAAATGTCACCTTGGTTGGTGCGTACGAGACGATGGAGGGGGTTTGTAGGGGGCTGCGCTGCCAAGTCTGGGGAACTTCTCTTCTTGGGGAGCTGAAATATGATATTGATGGTGGCGGATATTAGAGACTTGGCGACGAGTTGCCCTGCATCCGATTGATATTGAGGTTGAATATGATGCATCCTGGGCTATTTCTGAAATACTAAATGCATCAAGTTGCTCCTACATCGGATTGTTGGCCGATGATATTAGGGACTTGGCGAAGAGTTTCTCTAGCATTTCTTTCGCTCATATTAGGCGATCAGCGAATAATACAACTCATGTTTTAGCTACAAATATACATTAAATGATGAATTTACAAGATGAAATTGCTAATAGATTAGTAGAAAATGCTTAAATTTAATATGTTGTCCTAATATTTTTGAATTTATATTGTTGTATTTTATCATTTTATGAGCTCATTTGCTCAGTAAATTATCATTATTGTAACAAATTTTATGTATTGCAATACCATTTAGAACAGATAAAGTAAACAGACATGTATGTTCATTATTTGTTACAGATAGAAGGGTAAAGTGGTAACTTAATATCATTCAGACTATACATTCAGCATTCGTAGTAAACAGTTTGTTATCCCAGTGTCATTTAATCCAGACAGATGTCTTAATACAGACAGACGTCTTAATCCATATAGAACTTAATGAAAATAAAAGTAAACGGGGCCTTAGTGCCTGTTTGTCAATATTGAAAGTGACTAATTCTAAAGAAATTTATGAAGTTTGAGCTGAAGTGATAGAATGATTGTTTCAGCTAATTTACGAAACATATATTTAAAATATATTTTATTAATAAATTAAAGAAAAAATTGCATTAAAGATAAAATAGTGATTTCGACCTTATTATTTTTTATTATTACACAGTTTAGCGCGCGAAACGAAAAATTACGTGTTTGATGAAAAAGTTGTCTGATAAGCCGAAAAACATAATCACCAAACAGACTCTTAATCTTTTGTACACAATCTTTAATTTCCAATTATGAGGACTCTAAAGTGATGGTCCTATATTTTTGAGTTTAAATATTAAGAAAGTGTGGTAGAATCTTATTTAATTGCATTGGCCACTCTTTTTCGTTTAAAATGTTTTCATTTGGACTATTTTCAATCTCAGATCAGATCAGACTAGACCAGACTTAAATAGACCAAATCTGGACAATTATAATAAAATACATAGAAACCAGGCATTTACCGTACATGACCGGATCAAGAATGTTTAGTCCAATTGTAGATGTCCTTACTATTCATATAGCAAAATGCAATAAATGATAATTTATTTTAGTTTCTTTATCAAAAGGGAAACCTAATTATCATTTTGGAACAATCGTAAATAGAAAATATAGGACCATCATTTTGAGACTAGCGGACATATCATAAAAATAACCTTATTAGCTTGAATTTTTAAATAAACAAAAAAAAAGTGATTTTTATTGAACCCGAATTATTGCGATCCGGTCTGTAATCCAGCCACATCGGTGATTCTGGTTCTGGTCCAAACCATTTCGGTCCGGTCTTGGCGTCCCCATCATCATGATCGTGTCTGAACTGTTCCAGCGTATTCACAGCCTCGGAAGCCTAGTTAGTTGGGCACCCGAATTTCTCCTACTCCTCCCTAATCTGCGGCCGGAACCGCCGTCCTGCCACCTAACAACGAACTAAACGTCAGCTTCATCACTAAGAGGTATGAAAGCCTAATACTTTACTCGTTTTTAGATTTAATTTTTTCACATTCACAATTAAATATCGGGCTATAGCTATGTACGAATTTATGAAGCATATATGTACAAGCTCAAAAATGTATAGCCATTAGCCAATATAGTATACAGCTGCTTAGTATTCTATTACCGACCGAGAAGCGGAGAAGAGCAAAGTATAGCGACAGACAGGTTGGAGGAACGAACTAAGAGTCTGGGAGTTAGCGTAAGTTGCTGAAGACGACGACCTGCTCACCAAGATGCTGAAGCCGACGAAGTGATGAACAAGACTAGGGTTGAAGACGAGAGGTTTAATCCTACTAAACTCTAACATTTTGGATTTATTTGTTTGGGATTCCAGATCGTGCGAATGTAAAATGGCCCCAACCTAAATTTCTGAAACTCTGGTTTTTTGGGAAACACATTTCCAACTTTCCCAAAACAAAAAACTGGCCCCCCACGCGTATCAGCCCTCGCGTTTCAGTGCGTTATAGATTTTTTCTGTTGAATTTAGTTGTGAGGCTATTTGTTAAATCAGGTAGGGATTCGAGCTGGGTTTAGCTCGGAACCTTTTTCATTGTTTTTCAGCTCCCAATATTGAAACTTAGGGAGTGTTTGCTATTGCTTCTACTATAAAAAAGTTATTTTAGAGACAGTGCTTAATAGTAAAAGTTATTAGTGTTTGAGAAAAAAAATATTTTTGAAAAAGTAAAAGTGGGTAGTGTTTGATAAAATAAGTGATTTTTGTGTAATAGAAAAAGTGAAAAGCACTTTAAAACACCTTTCAACCTGCTTCCAGTTTTTAGCTTTTAAGTGCTTAATTTAAATAGAAGCTGTCATTTGAAAACACTCATTTCAGGTGAAAATTTCTTTTTTGATCTATTGCAAACACTCCCTTAGAGGTGTTTTTGGCTTTTATTTATGCGTGCTTGTGGAGTTGTAGTTTTTTTGCCAATTTTTTTTAGTATTTTATGTTGGAAATCTCTTTTCCTTAATATACACAAGTATTTGATCACATATATATACTACATTACTACCTCCGTTCTTAAGTCATTGCAACATTTTGAATTTTACATTATCTACATTCTCTATTTTGACTACATTTTATTTATTAATGTAGTAGAAATTTATGTTTTGAAAAATATTGTTAGTTTTCATCTCATTATAATTTTTCAAAATATGTTTTTTTAATTTTTTAATAATGGCAAACTAAATATATTAATGGTCAAAATTGTGTGTTGGAAAAGGTGAAAATAAAAATTATGCAACTAATAGAGAACGGAGGAAGTTATACCTACATATATTGCATATGTTTATATGTGTGTGTTTATATATAAGGGATGTGTTATATATAGACATGCATTTTTAAAGGGAAATTCAGCATTGGGAGTGTGTATGTGTGTATGTATAAAATTAAACATTGATAGGGTCAATCCACCGGGTTGGGGTTGACCCATGAACTGGTAACTTCACCGGTTTGCCTCCTGGTCCTATTTTAACTACGTAATAGAATACCTATAAAAGAGCATTAAAACCCCGGGAGTAATGGGAAAGGAATAAATTCAAACAAGAAGAAGAAAACACACACACAGACACAAAGAGATGTCAGACTCTACACATGTCACAGTTAAATATTGTGTTTAGCTTATGGTAGACTGGAATCCCTTTTAGACCAGTTTACATGTTTAGCAACATTATTTGATTCTCTCAAAAGCGAATACATAATAAAGTGATAGCTTTTAGCTTGTGTAATGTACGGAATACTATTTTAAGGTATTTCATGCGAATGTTTGTATTTGTAATAGCTGGAATAGAGTTTTGGCTCATGAGGTAACAAGGTATTCATCTAATTGCTGTTAGCAGTATGTTAGGAAGTCCGGGGTCTAGGGCTTGAATGCGTTACTGGGCATATGATAATAATGTTTTGGTTATATATTGGGGTTTCATTGTGATTGTGATGTGACATATTATGACATATTATGAAATATGATGGCAAAGTTGTAAAGTTATTTTATAAAAACAACAAAACTACTGGTATTTGGTAGTAGCACTGCAGATTTAGATAACATTACTCACCGTGCTTATTTATATGTTTATTTTGAAATTTGCGGGGTACAATTTTTTGAATGTTGTGCAGTGTGTAGTACTCCTTCTGTCCCGTAATGTTCTTTAATTTGCCTTTTACACCTGTTTTGAGACAGTGAAGTTGTGTGGTTGAGTGTCTTTTTAGGAAAGAAGAGTATATTAAATTATTAACCAAACAATTCTTTCTTTAAAGGAAATAAAAAAAAGTAGGAAGAACGTTTTGGGACAGTTGTGCAGTGTTTAATCATCTTGCATGTCTTCATAGGTTGTTAATTATACAGTTTGCGTGAGAATATTTAATTGATCTGCTCCTCTTGTGTATGTAATTAAATTAGACGGATAATGAGGGAGCTATAGGCTGCTGGTATATGGTGCAAAACAAGTAGCTCATGAGTGTTTCTTACAACAGATAAAGAAAAAGAAAAAAGAAACGTTGGGCAGGACTGTGGTCTGTGACAGAACTTGAATACATTTACTTATTCCATAGGTAACTCAAAATCATAACTTGCATCTCAATTTGTGTTTTCCTATTTCCATCGCAAATACTGAATATCTTTTCCTCCATCTTTAACAAGAAGACAGTGCAATCTAAAGTCTAAACTATCAAGATGCCCTTATATTTTTAAAATGTAATTATAATTTCCTGGTCAAATGGATTTTGAGGCCCCTTCTACATTTGATGTACTTTTATGCTGTTATCAGTTTGGTTTGGATCTTGTCCAAGATATTGGGTCGGATTTATGCTCACTGTGGAATTATCGGATACTCGACCTTATCAAGAGTAGTTTATTGATCAGTATTAGGGTCCCTTGCATAGCTATCACAAGAAATTTAATCATAATAGAAAAGATAAAGCTAAAGACTAATAAGAAGCTGACTAAAACTGAATAAGAAAACAACACTAATAATATGAATAGGAAAGTAAACATTTTCTTTGAATAGGAAAGTAAATTCATTCTAATATTATTTAATTAATAATAGGGAATTAATAATAATAGTAAGACTATAATTATAGAAAGTTTCCTTCCATAGTACTTCTCCGTGTTCATTCACGCTGCCCTTGCAGAAGTCACAAATGCTTGATTCAATGTTGAGATCTCTTGAGGTGCATTTGATGATTATGTTGGTGTTAACATCGACGTGACTTGTCTGGAATTGCAACTTTGGGATCTTATATCCTGGTCTGTGGTAGATAATCACATAATATACAATTCTTATTCTAAGCATCTTTTTATCGATGCTAGGTCGGTGTAAGAAATGCTTTTAACTTATCTTGAAACCAAATATTTCCTTAAGAAGTTAGTACTATCTCTCTCGCGCGCACAGACATTTATTAAAGAGAAACTATTTTAACTTCTGTTTGTGGTCATTACTGTGGACAGATGAGGATATGTTATTGCAGCATTTTCTTTTTTGCATTCACATGTATGATTGGAATGCTTGATGGTAGTGCCGGTGACATTGATCCATCATATAGGTAATACTGTAATATACATATATATTATATAGAGTATAGACTACACCAGTTTGGTTTTTCTCTAGAGAAAAATGTGTTTTTTGTGGTGGTAGGGTGGATGTAACCCACAGTGCAAGTCATTTTTTTGTCACATTCAACAAAGTGGTTTACAATCCTCTCCATGTCAGGACTTGTTTGGGAGAATGCGAAAAGACTGGATGTGCTGCAGGAAGATGTTTTCCAAACTGCAAAATATATTCTGATAGTTCTTTCACCAGAGGCATGGCCCTGAACATTCAAAAAGGTCTCTACAAGTGGTGGAAACAATTGGACTGCAAAAGTGATTGCATGTATCACTGTATGACTAAGAGAGAAAAGGAAAGAGGGTCACTTGGTCTTGGACCTGTGAAATACCATGGAAAGTGGCCTTTCATACGTCTCTTTGGGCTTCAGGTCATTTGGTTTGTAGGTTTATTACAGATAATTGCCACATTGGAGCAAAAGGTAAGAATGAATCTGTTTTTTTAAGCATTGTTTCTTTGAATGTTGCAGGAGGCTGCATCTGTTGTTCTCTCGCTACTAAACCTTGCAATTCATTTCCATGGTTGGCTGTCCTTTTACATGCTTGTTAAGTATAAGTTACCATCTAAAGCAGACAGGAGACCGTACTATGATTACACTGGCCTGTGGCTCATATTTGGCCTGTTGTCTATGAACTCATGGTTTTGGAGCTCTGTTTTCCACAGTAGGTGAGCTAATATATGTGTTATTGTTGGTGAAAGAATCTCAGGTTTTTAGTTCAATTTTCTTCCCTGTACCTTATAGCATCATTTGGGGTGGTTCCCAGTTTCAGTAAAAGTTACTTTTGGTCAAGGTACAACATTTTGATTTTGGCGAAGTACAATTGATAAAAATAATTATATCACACGAAAACTAGTTACATTTCATGAAGTAGGATTTTTTTTTGGGGCAACAGCCCTTTTAAAACCAGGACTGTTATCGGAGGTAGAGAGGTACTATGCTGTAATCATGTTTTCAACACTTGTTTTTGAGTTTTTTTAAACTTAAAAACTGAAAACTGGAAACGACCCCTTAACATATCTCTTATTAGACATGTCATACTCAGTATATTTCTTTAAATACTGCATTATAGAATTTCTTGGTAAACAGGGATGTTGATATTACAGAAAAGTTTGACTACTCATCTGCAATAGCCTTGCTCGGCTATTCTCTTATTCTGGCTATCTTAAGAAGTTTCAGTGTGAGGGATGAGGCTACCAGAGTGATGATTTCTGCCCCTATTCTTGCTTTTATAACAACCCACATACTTTACCTGAACAATTATAAAATGGACTATGGTAAGTGTCTCAACTCCCATTCAGCCATTCTTACTATAATGAAGTAATTTTTGCAGCCCTAAATTAAGAGACGCATTATGGGCGAGAAATAAGATACCATTGGTAAACTGCAAAGGGGAGGGAGAGATGTAAAGTGCATGTATAAATCCTATGTGCTGAGTCATACGTGTATTAAACTTGCAAGATGTTATATGCATTAAGGCTCCGTTTGGTTATATGAATGATTAATCTTGCTGTGGGATTTTACGTTGTTTTCTATATGACCCACAAAATTAGATAACACCAAACTGTTCCAGTAAAAAGACTTCCCGTGCCACATAAATGTTTGTGTAAGAAAATGTTTTCCCGTGCAAAACATGGGAATATCGAGAAAATGTATTTTACAGGAGATATTCTCTACACCGTAAATTTCTTCCAACTATTTTTTGGGTCTCACTTTTTCAAGAAATTGACGTTCTTGTTTCAAAAAAGGTAGGCATGTTCCACCAAATGTTTTCCCGCTGCAAATGTTTTCTACTGCTCGCGACAGAAAATTCATTCAAGTAAAATGTATGTTTTCATGTCCAGAAAACAGTTTGCCTATGTTTGAATCTTGGAAAACGACAGGAAAAGGAAATAAAATGTTAACCAGATTTACTTTCGTATGTTTCACTCTAGGAAATGTAGAGAAATGTGAAATACATTTTAAATTTGACTATGTTCAGATTGCAAATGGACAAATATTACACCTTCTTGTTATGTACTAGGTTGGAACATGGTGGTGTGTGTTGTGATGGCCGTAGCTCAACTTGTCATTTGGGCAGCTTGGGCGGGAGTGAGCCATCATCCTTCTCGATTGAAATTGTTGTTCGTCGTGGTTGGGGGTGGCCTTGCAATGCTTCTAGAGATCTATGACTTTCCTCCATATAAAGGATTTGTGGATGCACATGCCCTTTGGCATGCCACCACAATCCCCCTCACTTACATATGGTGGAGTTTCATCAAGGACGATGCGAAGTTCCGAACATCTAGCCTGCTCAAGAAGCTAAAAAAGTAGTAATCCTTGATGATCAATGCTCCAACAGGCTGAGCATTCGTTTACACCATACTATCTATTTTGTATTCAATTTTCGAGTTTCTGTTGTGTTTTGTCAATGGAGGATATGGGTGTATCACTTTTTTGTGTGAGAAAAATGGATACTTGTTTTGAATTTTGATAGAAAATTCCTAATTTTCACTTAGTTTTAAACAAGTTTACTCTCCCTTGCATCAACTGATCAACCCAAAAGCACCTTGCAGCGGGCAAACTGAAGTATTTGTCTTTTCACTTAGTTATTTGAGAAATTTGGGTAAACTGGTAAAGAGAGAACAAATACGGATGGGTCTAATAGTTTGTTCAATTCTTATACTACGTATTTCATAACAAAAGAAAACCATGATATTCTATAGAGTACAACTAATAATATCGAAACAAATTATTTGTGCATTATATTAGAGGTGCACTCCACAGTCCACACTAGGAATGGATTGGGACGATTCGTTCCAGCCCACCACTGTGCAGGCCCAACCTGGCCCGCTGGGCGGTACCGGTACCGGTACTGGGGGGCCTGAATCAGGGATGGGGGAGCGGGCTACGGGACAGGAAAAATGGTGACCCACTCGGCCGGTCCGGGACCGGTCCGGGCCTATTTTTTTTCTTTAATTAGAAAATTCGTTTCAAAAAAAAGTATTGACCCGGCCCGGTCCCGGTACAAATCTGGGCCGGTACCGGGCCTGCAGCCCAGGACTCCAGTCTCAGCCCCGGTCCACCCTCACTCCATACTAGTGGAAAATACGTGTTTTGCAGCGCTTTTCCCCATACGTGCGGTGCATACATGAAAAAGCGCCACATATGTTACAATTTTTTATTATATCATACACATATTTCAATAATTTTTGAAGTGAATATATCTAGATTAAAATATGAGTACACGGGAGAAAAAACTTTGTGTAATATCTATGCTGATATAGTGCATGTTGAAATTTTAATCTAGATGTATTCCCTCCAAGAATTATTGAAATATGTGTACGATATAATAAAAAGAAACTCTTATATAAGTAATAAATACACATTATATCATCATAAAAAATATACATATTATATAGATGATATAAATATTACAACAATTTAGTGGCGCACGTGCAAAAAATTAGCGAGTTTTGACCTGAATATTAAAACAATATACATATTCTATTGGCCTGGTGAATATAATCGTTTGATGCTATTTGATGTGGTTATTATCAATACTTTGAGTACAACTAATTGTGTGGTTCCTACATGCCTAATTTAAATATTGGTAACACATTATATTTCTAGGATGGTTGAAAACACATTCTTGAGCGGGAATACATCTTTAACAATCTTTTCCTATTATGTTAATTAAGATAGACTTCATCCACTACATAGAATGAACGGTGAGTCCCTCATGTGAGAAAGTCAAAAGCAAAAACAAGTTATTCTGGATTAAAAAGATTCATCACAGTAAATTAAATTACATTCAAAAGATTCAAAATAAGAAATACTTACAATAATGAAACATAAACATTGTGAGATGAATAATTGTTAAATGACCCTACTGAAAAATTGTAAATATTCATGAATGAAATAATGACATACTTGCAACTAATATAAAGATGATTGACAAAAATGTAACCTCTTACCGTGACTATAATAGTGCATATACTCAAACATAAAACTAGTCATGATATTATACTCATAATAACTTTATACACTTTCTAGGACATGCCATTTAAGTGGTTATACACTCATAGTAAATTTATACTCAAACATGTGTGATTAGGTTTCAAATATATTATTCTTCACCACTAATTGTAACTCGATCTTCAACCTAGATTACTCCAGGCTCCCCAACCCCCCTCCCCGAGACGTCTTCTTGAGTAAAAAAAAAACTTATTCAAAATGTCTCTCTTAATTATAATACATAATTTGTTTTGATATATTTTTTATTGTTGGAAATTTAAACTCATGAATCCGTACAGAACTGGACATAGAAGTTGCTCATAGACCTTTTAAATCACTTACGAAATTGCTTTTATGATTTGTTGGTTTTATTTGTATTTATGAACTGTTTTAAAAAACATTAAAATTTCATTAATGTTGACTTTCACAATTTCAGTTTGGAATGTTGTTTCATTTAGATTATTGATGGCATTATGGCAATATGAATCTTGTGAAATCTATGATGACATCGAGATTCAAGGCACACCTCACTTTATTTAAATTTAATACTAATGGTATATGAGTAGTATATCTCCTACTCTCCCGTGTGTTTGATTCAATGCATTTTTTCAATTCTTAATTTATAAGTATTTAGATATTGCTTATAAGATAGCGGTCGTATTTGTTAGGAAAAACTCCGGACTTTCCCGCTTCGTGAAGTTAAGATAGGCACTTAGGAATTAAGGTAGTAATGGGAGCACATGATTTAATTCTTCAATGGAGATTCTTCCACTATACAAAAGAATAGTGGGATTTACAAAAATGTTACAAAATTGTCTCACTCAATGGTTGCTCTTTCAAACTTGAGGATAGGAACTGTAATACCCAAGATTAATTTAAGAGGATTAATAGTACTACTCATACCAACAAGATGCATCTCCTTTTAAGGGATCTCATCACCTAAGAACTCCAAAGTTAAGCGTGCTTGCACGGGAGTAGTCTTGGGATGGGTGACCCCCTGGGAAGTTTCTCAGGGCGCGCACGAGTGAGGACAAAGTGCGCCTAAAAGGCTAGTGGCGGTTTGTGAGGACAGTACTAGAGGTCAGAAGTAACTACCTCGGGGCCTACGCGGCCAGGGGTGTTACAAATGGTATCAGAGAAACCCTGCGACAGTGTGTTGTTCCGTTGGATATCGGGCGGACACTTAACAGGGGAAAAGTTTCTGTGATATGATTGAGATTGGTTTATGGGCGCAACGAGGACGTTGCGTTCCTAAGTGGGGGTGATTGTAATACCCAAGATTAATTTAAGAGGATTAATAGTACTACTCATACCAACAAGATGCATCTCCTTTTAAGGGATCTCATCACCTAAGAACTCCAAAGTTAAGCGTGCTTGCACGGGAGTAGTCTTGGGATGGGTGACCCCCTGGGAAGTTTCTCAGGGCGCGCACGAGTGAGGACAAAGTGCGCCTAAAAGGCTAGTGGCGGTTTGTGAGGACAGTACTAGAGGTCAGAAGTAACTACCTCGGGGCCTACGCGGCCAGGGGTGTTACAGGAACTTCCCAAACTATCTCTCTTCTCTCACAAAGAGGCTCTCTAACTTTCTCACTCTAAGAAGTGGATTTAGTGTTGGCTAGGATTGTTAGGAATGGAGGCTCCTACTCCTATTTATATTACCCCACCGCCATAATGAGTGGTGGACACTAGTTCTCTAGAATGATCTACACATAACTACCTTTTTTAGAGAATTTCAAGGAATTGAATCTCCACACCTCTCCATTCCCTTCCATATGATTCCATACTCTTCCATAACATTTCGGAAGGTTCCACACATCTCCAGAATGTTCTAAAGGATTCCACACCATTCCACAAGCTTCTAGAGAGTTCTAGACTTCTCTAGGATTCTCCGGAACGTTTTAGAAAATTCTATACTTATCTAGAAAGCTCTACAATTTTCTAGAACCTCTCCAATTAAGGTGGGATCCCAACAAATCTCCCCCTCCCGACTTAATTGGGGCATAGTAGAAAATCTGCACCTTGACAACAATCTTCGAACTTCTTTGTCGGTATTACCTTGGTCATCATGTCTGACAAGTTCTCGTCTGTCTGTGTGAACCTTGCCAAGATGCAATATCTTTTCCTCGAGAACTTCTCGGAGATATCTTTACCATGGGAGATCATATCTTCTCAATGTGAATGCCTTTTTCTTGACCGAATCTTTTATCAACCAACCGAGCTTTGTTGCGGTGCTTTGAGCTACTATCTTTGGTCTTGATTCGATACACTCATTTATTCTTGAAGTCTCTTCTCCCTTTTGGCAGCTCCGCGAGTTCATAAGTGTGATTCTCATGCAAGGATTGCATCTCTTCTTGCATGGATTTTCTCCACTCTTCTTTATGGATATCATTAATTGCTTCTTTATAGTTTTTTGGCCCCCTCTCATCCGAGAGCATCGCATACTCCTTGGTGTTGTACCGAGTGGATGGTCTTCTCTCTCTTGAGGATTGCCTCAGCTCTGGTGCTGTCAGAGAACTAGATTGAGGATCTTCCTGATTTGATTCATCATGAGTCTCCTGGTTGCTTTGCTCTAACTCAGGCTCATGGTCTTCAGCATCATCGACATGAGGTGTGTCATCCTCACGTCGAACTAGAGTGAGTTCGGTGGTATTGCTGCTTCTCAATCTTGGCTTCTCAGAGTTTTTAATGTCTTCAATTGTTTGGTCTTCAAAGAAGACGACATCTCTGCTACGAACAACCTTCTTGTTGTTTGGATCCCATAGCCGGTAGCCGAATTCGTCCTTGGGTGAGCGAAGGTAGATACACTCCTTTGTCTTCGCATCAAGCTTTGCTTGCTCATCCTTGAGAATGTGGACAAATGTTCTGCACCCGAACACCTTAAGATGATTGTATGAAGCCTTTCTGCTCGTCCAGACTTCCTCTGGTATGGCACCGTTCAAAAGGACTTTTGGTGTGAGGTTGACAATGTCAACTATGCTATTATAGCTTCTCCCAAAAGGATTCGGGTAACTTAGCATTAGAGAGCACACAACGAACTCTTTCTTCAATAGTTCTATTCATTCTCTCAGCTAGCCCATTCAATTGTGGTGTCTTGGGTGAAGTCTTCTCTAGCCTAATGCCATATTTCTTGCAATAGGCTTCAAAGGGACCTCTATACTCACCTCCATTGTCAGATCGTACACATTTGATCTTCCATCCCATCTCACGTTCTACAAGAGCTTAGAATTCCTTGAAAGCGTCAAGTACTTGATCCTTTGGTTCTCATAGATGCAACCACACCTTCATTGAATGATCATCAATGAAGGTCACAAAGTACAATGCACCACCGATAGATCTCTCGGACATTGAGCACACATCGGTGTGTACAAGGTCGAGGATGTTCTATCTCCTTATGGATGGAGAAGATCTTTGGAAAGCAACTTTGTGTTGTTTTCTAGCTAAACAATGTGCACAAGGATCAAGTGACTTACCTTTCACGTCCGGGAGGAGTTGTTTCTGAGCAAGTATGTGAAGGCCCTTCTCACTGATGTGGCCAAGTCGTTTATGCCATGCCTCCATGTCATCAGTGGTTATAATTCTCTCTCCTTTATAGAGCTTTGCTTGCATCACGTACAACGATTC